TAGGGACACAACAACATGCTGACTGCAGCGGGGTTTGAACCTGCGCTCCCCTGATCCGAACACCTACGGTCAACCCATTACGCCACACGCCTCCCAAATGTGCAATATCATGAATTACGTGCTTGTTTTTTTTTCTAAAAACGAAAATGTGGTGACATCAGATTTATTTTAAACATCCTTTTCAAACAAATGCAGCAAGTTTGTTTTTTAAAGCGCACTACAAATAAATCTGACGTTGACCCTGTTAATATTTCGCATCACAGGAACATTTTATAAAAAAATAATAACCTCCTGAAAACATTATCCAAATGTTGCTTTCAAAATGTTCTTCTTTGGTTATCATGTAACATTGAGGGACCGTTTTATAAAGAACATCTTTAATGTGTTACCCAACAACGTCCAAATCACATCCTTAGAATATTGGAGGCAAAACGTTCCACCTTTGTTAACATATCACATTAAAGGAACATTTTATAAAACACTTTCTGTCATCTCAGGCCTCATAACATCCTGAAAATATTTTCAGAATGTTGCTTGGAGAATGTTCTTTATTTGTTATCATTAGTGCTGTCAAAATTATCGCGTTAACGGCGGTAATTCATTTTTTGAATTAATTGCGTTAAAATATTTAACGCATTTAACGCATGTGCAGAATGGCCCGCCCCATACGTGCCACCAGTGGCAACGCCAGGGTATGGCTGGGGTAGGCTACACCCATACCAAGAAATGGCTTAGCCCCACCATGAAAAATGATGTTAAAGGAAGCAAAATAAAGTCTGCCAACTCGCGCGGAGTAAATTGCACAGACAGCAGTTAGTAAGATTGATTTCAGTAGCCACGGTTTTGAAAACTTTTGTCACGTAGTGATCGTCTTCTCAATAGAACATCTTTGATAACGGCGTGGTGTTGTTGCAGGAAGTCCCGACGGAGAATACTTTTGCTGTAGTACAGGGGTGCACATAACTGGTACGCAGGTTATGTGCGTAATCTCTCTGAAATGCGTACCGTCACTTGTGTCACAAAGCGCATTTGCGTACCGACGTACTTGTGAAGCTTTTCCAGAAGGCGGTTAGATCACCGGACGACAGAGTCGGTCTCCGTGTGCACAGACAGGGCTGCTGTTAACGTCGGTCTGTTCAACGGAATTGTGCCAAAACTACGCCAACCGGCTGCGGACGGAGACTCCCCTCCCCCCCATTCACTGGAGAAACAGCTGATCACAACGTTCACACTCTGTGGTCACGAAGTACTCCACTAGCTGCTGCTGCCCCCCCCTCTGTCGACTTTCCTGAAGTACTCCCCGTTGATAGAAATCAACACGTAATGAATTAAGACCCCACGGTTTGATGATTGATAGGTGTGTGGGTTGTCTTTCATTTTGACACGCAGAAAAATGTTATAATAAACATACATACTGTATGTTAAATGGATATATCCGCCTTCTTTCATTTATCTTTCCATTCCCACAACAATATACATAAATAAATGGCATATTTTGGACATAGTTCGAATGGTGATTAATCATGATTAATTAATTTTTAAGCTGTGATTAATCTGATTAAAATGTTTAATCGTTTGACAGCCCTAGTTATCATGTAACATTTAGGGAACGCTTTATAAAGAACATCTTTAATGTGTTACCCAACAATGTCCAAAACACATCCTTAGAATGTTGCAGGCAAAACGTTCCACCTTTGTTAACATATCACATTAAAGGAACGTTTTATAAATAAACTTTCTGTCATCTCAGGCCTCAATAACATCCTCAAAACATCCTCTGAATGTTGCAGTTAAAACGTTATGTCTTAGTTAACCTTAAACCTTATAGGAACATTATTTGAAAAAATAAACATCCTAAAAAGGTTCTTTGAACATCAGATTAAAACGTTTCTTTAAAACCTTATTAGAACCATGGGTAACGTTAGCCAAAGTTGTGAGAACGTTCCCCACTAGCTGGGATACTCACACATATACACATATACACATACACATAGTCAAACACCTTCCCCATCCCTGTACCTCAAGAAAATAATTTCTCTGTATTTCCTCTTGAACTGGTTAATGTCTGGACATCGCTTTAGCTACACATTCACACTGTTCCATAGTCTCACTCCACAGGCTGAGATACAACAAGTTATTCTGGTTGTACGGACCCTATGAATTTCAAATTGAAATTGTCTCCTTGAACTATATCCCCCCACTCATTGAGTGAATACTTTTTGGATGTTTCCTGGTAAAACTTTATTATTTGCCTTAAACATGATTTTTGCCATTTGGAATTCTACCAGGTCTTTACATTTTAACAATTTTGAATGCAGGAATAATTTGTTAGTGTGATCAAGATATTTGGCATTGTGAATGATTCGTATGGCTTTTTTTTTGTAGAATAGATACTGCATGTATAGAACTTTTGTAGTTATTGCCCCAGATTTCAGCACAGTAATTCAGATATGGTAAGACTAGTGAACAGTAGAGAATGTGAAGTGATTTCTGATCTAGAACTTGTTTTACTTTGTTTAGTATGGAAATGCTTCTTGACAGCTTTGATTGTATATGTTTTGTATGTAATTTTCAACTTATTGTGTCATCAATTATTACCCCAATACATTTAATTTCATGGACTCTTTCAATTTCAACCCTATCTATTTTTATTTGCATTTGTGTTTTTGTTCTATGTTTACCGAACAGCATTAATTTTGTTTTACTCAAGTTCAATGATAGTTTATTTTTGTCAAACCAAGTTTTTAATTTGTGCATTTCATTTTCTATGTTCTCCACTAGCTGTTCTGAATCCTCCCCAGAACAGAATATATTTGTATCATCAGCAAACAAAACCAGATGTCATTGATGTACAGCAGGGGTATTCAACTAAAATTCAATGAGGTCCAGTTAGAGAAAATGTCCCCATGCAAAGGTCCGGAACATCAAAATGTTTAACTTGCTTTATGAATTAGTGGGATATATTGAAGTAGCCTGTAGCTTTATCAACGTCTGCATGTAGTCAACAACTGACTGTTCAAAAACAACAATATTTATTGTCAATTAATATTGAACTATACAGATATACAGTAAATACTGTGGATATGTGTAATGTTCCTCTCGGGCTGCATTTAAAAATAAAATAGAGAAAATAAATAAAATAGCTTTTGAAAATATGTGCATCTTAAAAGTGCTTAATTTTAGATAAATAAAATAAAGTGTAGCAGCAGCTTGAGTTTCCCTTTTTCTTTGTTAACCATTTCACATCATGACTTAACAGTGTCAGACGATTATAGAACAATATCTGTCTTTACACATCATAACAATTGAACAGTTTTAAAGTTTCTCTTTCTTTCCCTCTTATATTGCAGTCCCTCACTCACTTTTTTTTAATTCAGTGCGAGAATTGAGCTTGAGATTGTCCTGCCAGGAGTTTGTAAATCTGGTCTGAAATTGTGTCAGGGCCATTCTCATACACACATGCAGGTGCTCATTGGTTAGCCTCGGTTAGCCTGCCCTGGAACGATATTCAGTTTTAATTTTGATCCTGGTCGACTGATCATATTGGGCTCTGAGACTGCTTATTTTTTGTGACCTCAGTTTTGACTTGAGAGGGAATGTTTGGTCAAACACTTTGTGTTTTGGCACTTTTAATGAGCACCACGGTCTCTGAACAAATGAGACACACTGGTTCTGTGCTCCTAGTGGGCAGGATGAACATGAATGAGTCCGTCCACTCAGGGTTAAAAGCTCTATTCTCACTGTCCACTTTCCTGTTCTTGGAGAGTGACATGTGTAATTATTTGTCTCTCCCTGTCTGCCGCTAACACGCCTGTTCACTCTCCTCTCCGTCTTCTCTCCCTGTATCGCTAATTATTCTCTTCACTCACTTTCCTCTCTGCTTCTCTCTGTCACGCTCTCATCTCTTCTTCCGTGTTTCTCTCCCTGTATCGCTCAGTCGTCTCTTTCGCCCCCTGTCGGCGGCGGTTAAAATATAATCGCCCCGTCAAAATTGAAATCCCCTATTAATGTATTGATTATAGGTCCGGGTCCGTATAGGTCGGCGTCTGGGTCCGGATCCGGACCGCGGTCCGCCTGTTGCCGACCCCTGATGTACAGTATAAACAATTTAGGACCCAACACTGACCCCTGGGGGACACCACAAGCAATGTCCAAACATGAAGAATAGTCATTTGCCAACTTCACATACTGCTATCTATTGCTTAAATAGCTTTTAATCCAGTCCAAAACTATACAAGTGAAATGTTCTGTAATGCACGAGTCAACACGTTCCATGCTCTTTTGAGAAATCTAATGTACAAATTAATCTGTCGATTGAATGTTTCTCATAACTCTGTCATTATGCTGCTGTCAAATCCGTGTTTCAGTGCTGTACGATACCAGTCACCTCTGTGGAAACATTGGTATAACTGCCTTTTTTAATTTATATTTATGTTTTGTATGTTTTGTAATAATGGACCAAGAGTCTCTTTAAATAAAGATGATGATGATGATGATGATGATGATGATGATATACCCCTGATACCATACCTTTCTAATTTATATACTAGGATGTCATGGTTGGTTGTGTCAAAAGCTTTTTAAATATCTATAAAAATCCCTACTGCATATTTGTTGTGTTCAAGGGCATCTGTGATATCCTCAATTGATTCCATAATTGCCAGTGATGTTGATCTGTTTGATCTGAATCCGTATTGACTGTCCGTGATTAATTTGTGCTTTTCTATGAACGTGTCCAGTCTGTTGTTGAATACTTTTTCTAGTATTTTTGAAAATTGGGGAAGTAAAGAGATAGGTCTGTAGTTTGTGAAGTGGTGCTTCATGATCATGACCCGTTTTTTTATCAAAAAAAATGTAAACTTGTTACATGTGGCAATTTATTTTTATTTCACTTTCAATTATTCAAACAGTTTTTATTTATTATCACATTTATTTTTATATTTTTCAATTAAAAAGGTTGTGCTTCTGTTTGTTTAAAATGACCAATTACAACATAACTGTTAAGTTCTTCCAGTCATGCCTTTTTTTGTGTTTCTTTGAGGCTGCAATAAAATTATATAACATTTGGGGAAAAAAATGCAAAGTAACAGTCCAAAACTGGACGCTAATATAGCAAACACTTCCACAGCCACAGTGAGCTTCCCAGGAGAGCTGACATAAGCTGGGATGAAAGAAATCCAAACGGCACAGAAGATCAGCATGCTGAAAGTGATGAGCTTCGCCTCATTGAAGCTATCGGGAAGCTTGCGTGCGAGGAACGCCAGGAGAAGGCAGATGAAGGCCAGAAAACCAATGTAGCCCAGGACCAGATAAAATCCAGGGGGCCATGGCTCCTTACATTCCACAATGATCTAAATATGTTCAATAATACAGGGAGACAATTCAATTACGTGGAATGACACATTTTATGAGGTTATGTTCCTTTCTGTTCTCCATTACAAATATTGAAGAAATTAACTGTAGGATTTGAACAGTTTTAACCTGTTAAAGGTGACATGTCATGCTTTTCCGGTTATTACCCGTCCCCTTGTGTGTTATGAAGGTTTTTCTGCATGTAAATGGTGTGCAGAGTCAAAACCCTCAAAGTACACCATGTAGCGAGTAAACTCTAACACAGAAAATACCTCCCCAAAATGCCTCGTTGGAGATACGTCACCGTCCATTTGATTCTTCCGGGTACATCATGATGTCATGTCGTCCCCGGAACGAAATTGACTAATCCGTGTAGCCGTTACGTTACGTCCGCGCAGCCGTTACGTTAAGCCCCCGCTGATTGGTCCAAATTGACCAATCCACGGACTTCCTCAGTGCAGGCAGCTCTGCTGATTTCTCCTCCCTGGCTGCAGGCTGATAACAGACAGTTGGGATCGCGGCGAAATTCTCTCTGCAGAGCAGACCCATTCTCACAGCGTTTATCAACCTTTTTCTTACTCAATATCAAGCCACACTTATTGTTTTTACTTCGGCTGTGACTTTGTGTGTGCTCAGCTGTGTTTCGCTGTGTATCGCTAAACAAGGAAATCACACGAAAGAAAAAGCTCAGCGCGATTCACAACGTCCCGACTGGTCCCGACCAATCGGAGCACACTGGGCTCACAGGGAGGGGGAGGGGGAGGGGGGGGGGGGGGGGGGGGGGGGGGGGGGGCAAGAGCTGCAACGAGCCGTTTAGTGGTGAGAGTGAATACTGCTGAATACACATACTATACAGAGATGCTGTATGAGAAACCAATGTGATTTTGGAACATTGAACAATGTAAATCTATTCTAGTATACCTCAACAATGGAATTATGATCAGTGGAAATGGCCATGACATGTGACCTTTAAGCCCCGAGCTTGTTTTCCAGGTCTCAGGCTCGAAAATGACATTCCCAGAACAATTGACTATAACTTATCTTCTAAAAGGGGTACATTAATAATATGTTTTCACAAAGCAATGATAAACCTGTGAGTTGGATGTAGAAAAGTCAGAATCAATATACATTTTTTAAATTTTAAAGTAAATTCAGATTGAACATAGTAAAAAAATCTAAATTATAGTGTCCGTCCAAAAAAAACATTACTTAATAGGCGCTTTCACACCGCAGTACTTTTCCCACTTTAGTTCCGATATAGTTCCGAAATGTTGCGGTCACACCAAAACAATCCGGAATGAGTTCATGAGAACCTTTTTGAGTTCATGAGAAGCTTTTTACCCCCTTTTCCGTCCCTGCTAGAGAGCAGGTACTTTCGTGGGAGAAAAAGGCTCCTATTTCTGATTGGCTGGGCGGATTGCAAACCACGCCCCGTAAAACTCCCAAAAACTTTTGTGAAGCCGCCATTTTATTATCCTAGCAATGGCATTATTAGCATTAGCCTAGCGCAGAAACGCAGAGAGACTAACTTATGGCAACACAAAAGAAAATATGGGAGCGATGGAGATGAGAAGGTGTCGGCGTTCTGGCGATTTACTCGGAAGGCTGCTGGGAGTCCCAGCAGCTTCTGAAGCCAGTCCCCAACTCCGGGGACTTCCGGCAGGGGACTTCGGGTGGCAGTATACGCCATGAAGTTGTTTGCGGCCTGCCAGTAAACCCAAAGCAGAAGAAGAAGTGACGTCACCGGCTTCATTTGCCTAATCCTCCTCCAGGGATTTATTCCGGTGTGAACGCGATCCGTACTTAGTTCATGAGAACTGAAGAGTTCTCATGATAACTGAAGAGTTCTCATGAGAACTGAAGAGTTCTCATGAGAACTAAGTTCTGATGAACCTTTGTGGGAAAAGTACTGTGGTGTGAAAGCGCCTGTAGTGAAAACCACCCTTAAATGATGGGATAGTAGACTAAAAGCTTTAGGAATCCAAAATATAACATATAATAAATACCCTGTATCAAGATTGAAGCAAAACAAGTACAATTTGACCTTTTTAGAGAGGTTTAGCAAAAGAAAAACCCCTCATTTGGGTGGATTTGCCATATTTCTGGCCCCCCTTGGTCGATTTCAATGATTGACATCTCTTTTTAACCGTTAGAGCCAATAGAATCGAGGGGAGTTCCTAAATCCACCTACACATTACCAAATAAGGAGTGAGAGTGATGCGTAGCCAGAATACCCAAATCCGGAAGCTGCACTTAGCTATCATAGCAGCTAATATGAAATCTCTGTTTTTGACATAAAAATTGAATGATGGATTATCAGTAATCATTTCCAAGTGACACAGACACATTGGATTAACGTATGGATTCATCTTCAGCCGCGTTTTTATCGTTTTAATGCCATTGAACACAACTTTTGATCAGAAACAGCAAAAGGTAAGACAAATTTCCCGATTTTGCTCCATAAAGCTATGTTGTGTGATGTCTGATCGCTCAGTGATGATACTTATATTTCTGGAATCTGTGGAATCTCTGCTTGCTAGCTAATATCTTGTTTTTTTTACAGATCCGATAAGTAATAAAGTATTAATACCTAGAGTTCTGTGCTAAGTGCGTTAGCATTTTTTCACTCAGGGCTCATTTAGACGCTTCTTGTGAGACTTGTGTTTTGTTTCGGTAAAAATGGTTCGTATCGTCAGTTAGCTGAGTTTCTTCCTGTTAGGTGGATATGACACATTAATAGTTTATTAAATGTATAGTATCAAATATATCACTTTTGCACACTGTAATTCTTACTTTTCCAGTTGAGGCTTGGTAGTTTGGGTTCTTGAATGGGAAGGAAGGTGCGCCCAAAAGCCAACCAGCACACAGACAAACCTGAGGGCAAGGTGAAAATATTATAAATTCTGTAAAAACAAACAAAAAACAAGTCACAAATTGAGGTCATACATCGGTTCTAACGCCCTCCTACCTGAGGAGCTATAGTGCAGATGATCAGAGACCTCTGTTGACAGGGACCAAACAGCTTGAGAGCCCTGGAAGCATGTTCATTAGCCCGGAAGGCCAAGAGAACCACAATGGTCTTAACAAGGAGACAAGACAGACAGAGGACAAAACTAATCGCAAATGTTGCCTGGCGGAGTCTACATGTCCAAACAGAAGGCTGTCCAATAAACACCAAGGCACACAAGAAGCAGAGCTTGAGTGACAGGAGAAGCAGGAAACTGATTTCTGAGTTGTTTGCCTTCACAATCGGTGTGGTACGGAAACGGTGAAAGACAACAGTGACGATAGTTGTCAGGACAACACCCAGCAGTGTAAGTGCAACCAGAATGATACCCATGGCGTCGTGGAAAGACAGGAATTCTTCAATCCCGGCCACACATTTCACCTTTTCTTTGTCTGGCCAATGATATTCGGGGCATTTTGTGCATTCAGTGGATCCTATGGAGATACAGAAAGTGGAAACTGTATAAATGCACAAAAACTTAATTCTACATCTTTGCATCCATCAAACATGTCCTGGTAAGTTTTTGGGATACCAGTCTGGTTGCTGAACTCTCCATCTGCACAGGGCAAACAATCAAAACAGCAGTGTGGCTCTCCTAAACGTCTGGCCTGCCTGGTGCCAGGGAGGCATGGAGCACTGCACTGAGATATAGGAACCTAAACAGATAAAGGTGTCAAATTGCACACCAATAATTGCTTTGCTTCAGACTAGATGCTTCAATAGAACCAAGAGTTTTTCACTGAAGTAAAATTACAATCATTTGAATCATCAGGTAATACTTGAAATTGTATATCCGGTAAAGACATTTTAAGTGATGTATGACCCACCTGTGACTGTCCTTCGGTCCAGACAATGGTGCTGTGATCTATCTGCAATTGTTGTCTGAATAGAGCCGAACCGTCATAGCTTCCCACTTTGACAAATCTAAATACAGCATGAAAAATGTTTTAAATGCAACCAGTCCCAACAATGGTACACCATGATTACCCAGTTACAGGTATATGCTTAGATAGACACAACACATATAAATATAGATATAAATATACTCAATCTCGATTTGTATTCCACCTTATTTTACCCTTGCTGTCTTTCTGCCAGTTAATGATGTCATAGAGAGGTACCGGCTCTCCATTTGAGTCAAAATATACCTTCTCCTCAAACTGGTTGGTGAAATTCACTTTCTTCAGATGTTGCAGCAACTGTGAGAGAAAGGAGAGAGAAAACAAACAAATAATACATTAGAGAATGACATAATTGAAATAAATGATTGATATAAATATATTCTGTAATGGTTTAACGCACCTGACTAGAAGTAAATGTCTTGCTATGTCCTGCAGAATCAGACTTCAGTAAAGTGTGCAGAGCATGGGCGATGGCATATACAGCTTTATATACATTATATGATATTCTGACCTCAGATACATCAGTATAACTGCTTTCAGTGAACCTCAGATCCTCTGAACCAGTGCATAGAGGCTTTTCAGCAGCACCTTTGTAATTGTTATAAGTTGACCCCTTAACAGAGGTTGTTTTGCCTATAACAGGCCTGGCCAAGGACAAGGAATTGTTTCGAGAATCTGATTTGTAACCAAATGCATCCAATTCCACGTTATTCACAGTGTCTGCTTCCCTTTCTTTAGAGCCTTCTCCTCTAAACTCTAGCCTGCAGCCAAACAGCTCTTCCCAGAACATGTTGACAAATTCATGTCCCGGTTTGGGAGAGGGACGGACATTCAACAGGAACTCTTCCAAGTCAGGTATCATGACTCCAGGGAAGGAGAATCCCAGTGTGCCTTCTAGGATAGGGTGGAAGTGGGGAGAGGTCAGCAGGCTAGCTGTGACCCAGGCTTCACTAGCTACCCACTGAATCCCTGTCACATTTCTCTCAGCCAGCTGGAAAATAAAACACATTTACAAATGTGATAAGAAAGCAAATATGAGCATGATCATACACATTATTTTAATATTCCTAATACTCTTATTATTTTAAATCTGCAAAATACATCATATAAATATTGGCCTATGCAGATACAATAATTGGAGTTTAGAGGACTAACCTCTAAGAACAGATCCAGCAGCTGTCCCTCTGTTGCAAAGACCACAACTACCTGTGCAGTTGAACTCTGCAGCTTGTTGGCAATGTCTTGTAACTCAGTCACAGAGGGTGATTTTGGGATAATCAGATGAAATGCCACACACCCACCCTGTTTTTTAAACTGACTAGAAAATGCTTGGATGCCATATTGACTGTAGTCATCCTGAAATATATAGAGAAACGTTTTGTTAATAATTGAAGTTTTTTTGATTGACTGAAATGGGAGAAAAAAAGGTTTTATCTCACCGTGGTGCCAATAGTGCCTACCCAGAGCCAGTTGAGGAAGGTGACCAGCTGAACAAGACCTCTAACTTGAAAGAGATCACTCGGTACAGTCCGCAAGAATGACGGGTATGAGTCCTTGTTAGTAAGACAAGTACAAGTGGCAAAAAAGCTCACCTATTGAGATACAATGTATTAAGATAAGAGAAAACCTAAACAAAAAACAGTATTAACTTCAGTACAGCTAATGTACTGTGAATGTTTCTTTCCTTTCTTACCAGTGGGATATTGAAAGGACCGAGTGTATGAGCTACAGCTCTTGCTGGGGTAGAAGATGCAAGGCCAATCACAGCAGGTACGGGATAATCCACCAGACATGAGGGCAAAGTCTCCTTTGGCATATCTAATATTTTTTCAGTTTTTACCATTTGTTTCAACTCTCCCATCCACGCTTTAGAGTGACTGACTAAAGACATAAGAGCTTGCAGGCTGGTGTGTACATGGTCACAGCTGTCCATTATCCGGTAGCCTAGTTTAACACCTGGTAACAGGCTGGTATTACGATTAATTTCCTCCACTGCAAAGACCATGGTCATCATCCAGCGGAAAGCTCTATGATCAAAGCTGCAACAATTTTAAAAGTTTGGTGCAATCCATGTAATTCATCACGCCATAGGAAAATACAGTGTAACAGCAATATAGAGATGCTACCACAGTTAGATGAAAATATTTTAAAAAAAAATGTATAACATCTATGGGGCTGTATAATATATCATCAGTATCCTCACACTTACCCCTTGCAAGGTGTGAGCTGGGGTTTGCTGTGGTAGCTGTTCTGTGGCTTAGGAGCCACAAAATGCAGAGGGAACAGCCCTCCAATCACAACATCCCCTCCCGACTGCAGGGCCAAAGGCTCACTGTCCGCCAGTTTCACACACTGAGGTAAGATAGAAGCAACACCTCTCACTTGATCTATTCCCAAACTCCTTTGTTTCTCTGTTACAGTCTCTTCTTCTTTCAACACACCTCTCTCTAAACATAGCTCTTTACTTCCCATCACACTTTTGGGAACATTAAAAATAACTGGAAAAACCAGGCTGAATAAGGAGCAAACAAGCAGCCAGGCAGGAGCTCCGGCAAGGGCAAATTGTAGTGTACATACTGACCCCATAAAGGCTGCATATGTGTGCAGGAGACAATGGTCTATAACAAGTATCTGAAAGGCGAATTAAGCATATAAAAACTGTTATGCTAATATGCTTTCATAGATCATGAGTCATCTTCAGTCCAACCAATCACAATGAAACACAATGGCACAGGTGAGGACTATGGATGGCTCATGTGAAATTTGTTTTGAGGATTGACTATTATTGATGTGATGAATTAAAAACTTTAATTTCAAACAATTGTATTAAAAGGTGTCTATTACTAAGACTGGAACAATTCCAGGTTACCTTTGATAATATATACATATTATGTATAATACATTAAAGGATTATATAAAATGTACTTAATGAAATTCTATTTGAACAATTGCATTTTATTTTAATTGTTGCCAGAAATGGTTGATTCAGAAATTACAGAATTTTTTAGATTAATCAAACCCAAACCTAACACTTACGGGTGGCTACATCATATTGTAAAGCTAATGTGCATGTTATAATGGTGTGTATGCTTATGGCTAATTCACAGCCGAGCATTGGTGTTTCAGTTAGTGTGCTGTGTCCCTAAAGTAGCCCTCTATGAAAATGGTTATTTAAAAAAAAATGTATTTGATTATTCAATCAGGTAACTGTGTGTGTTTTATTTTTCAAACTAAACGACCTTTTAGATTTTTGGGAATTCAAAACACATTTTAACAACTTGCTGAAGGATTTGTGAACTACAGTAAGGGAAGTTTCATTTTCTGCTATGGCAATAAACGTTATAGCATTTCAACCATGCTGTATTTAATATGTTTTTGAAATGTCAATTAAGTACCACACATGATCTGAATGTTGACTTTATTTATTCACTTTATTTTATATTTAATGCAACGGATAGAAATGTATTTAGATAATAGGCTATTAGTACATTCACAAAATGACATTAAAATGTGTACAATATTGAGCATAAAATAAACTCGAATATGAATATTTGAACCAACAAGGAAAGAATATGTTAAATGTCTAAAGTTAAAGCTTTTAAAAGCCATCTACATTTTTTCCCTGCTCATTAAATGTTTCTTGGTGTTTTTCTCTGGCTTAAATAAAATAATAAAACATTTTGGAGCGAATATACACGTAATTAGTCCAAAACTGGAGGCCAGAATGGCAAATATCTCCACAGCCACAGTAAATTTCCCAGGAGAGCTGACATATGCTGGGATAAATGTGATCCAGACTGCACAGAATATCAACATGCTGAATGTGATAAGCTTGGCTTCATTAAAGGTATTAGGTAGTTTCCGAGCTAGGACAGCTAACACAAAGCAAAAGACAGCCAGTAAGCCTATATACCCAAGTACAGCCCAGAACCCCAAAGCTGATCCTAATGCACACTCCAGGATGATTCTCTCCTTGTATGTCGTGAGGTTTTTCATTGGAAAGGGGGGACTAAGAACTAACCAAATAGTACATATCAAAACTTGAATAAATGTGAAAGACACTACAGTCAATCTTTGCTGTGAAGGCCCAAACCATTTCATCAAATTACTACCTGGTAGTGTAGCTCTGAAGGCCGTCAGAACTACTATAGTTTTTCCAAGAACACAAGACATGCAGAGGACGAATGTGATCCCAAACGCTGTGTGGCGCAGCATGCAGGACCACTCCGAGGGTGCTCCAATGAACGTTAATGAACATAAGAAACATAGAGTCAGGGAGAAGAGCAGCAAGAAGCTCAGCTCAGAGTTGTTGGCCCTGACAATTGGTGAGCTCCTGTGACGATAGAACACAGCCGCTGTTATAATGGTGAGACAGGCACCACCGATTGAAAAAGCAGCCAAGACGATTCCAAGGGCCTCGTTGAAGGAAAGAAACTCTACAGGTTTGGGAAGACACAAATCTCTCTCTGCATTAGGCCAGAATTCCTTGGGGCAAGGGAAACAATCAAAGGAATCTGAAAAAAAAGGAAAAGAGCTTTAAGCAGTTAGAATGTATATTTTATGTTTTAGACATACATTAGAAAAACAAATACCTGTAGCATTGCTAATCTCTCCCTCGGGACACGGTGTACAGTCATAACAGCAGATGGGTTTTCCTTTCTGAAGCACTTTACGAGTTCCTGAAGGACAGCTGTCAGTGCACACTGACACAGGCACCTGTCACATATATACAAATTAACTCACATGTAGACAAGTGTGCTCTGAAGCTAACATTATAAAAGGATAGATTCATGTTTTTTTCTTCACAATGTTTTTCTTTGTGTCTTTTACATTTCTGTTTATTTAAAAAAAAAAAAAGTAAACATGCATTTTAATCAATAACACGTAAATGTCATGTTAAAAATACTCTCATTATTCGTAACATTGGAATTCTAATGAGGTACCGAGGTATGAGACATCATACCCTTTGCGATGATATGAAAATGTAGCATGTTAAACTATTGCTTTGGGGCTCCTCACCTGTGTGCCACCCTCCACCCAGGTGAGGTTCCTGTTGATAAGGAACTCCTGGCCCACCGGCAGTGATGAATCGTATTTCCCTACAGTCACCAACTCAATGCTGCCACTCTCATTTCTTTGCCAGTTTACCAGCTCATATGTGGCCACAGGATCCCCGTTGGCATCGAATGACACATCATAACCATTTTGGGAAAAATTTACTTTTTTCAGCTGATTAAGAACCTAGGGATGAAGTAAAGGAAGACAGTGAAGGGAAAAAAAGAGATAATTTAAAATAAAATGAGCATTCATTTGATAACATAGATGTGCAGCTTAAAAGAACATCATTATTTTTATTGACCTCTTTGGCCTCTAGCTTAGTGAACCTAACACACTGTGTAGTAGAATCAGTTTGCTGACACACTGCGTTATGAATGGCATGCGCTATTGCATAGACAGCCTTGTACGCCATATTAGTGATTCGAAGTTGAGATGTGTCAGTGTATGAGCTCTGGAGCGTCTTTATATCTTCAGTTCCATCACACACACTCCTGTCTGTGGATTCACCTAAAAACACAGAGACAGAGGGAGGTGTTTTTAGCCATGATGATTACATTCATTCTTTGTGTGTATTGTGTTATTTAACCTGCCAAACAAGCATTGCAGGATTTACATCACATTTAAAATCACTGTTTTGTGGACATGCCTTTTTTTTTACATTAGTTTATTTTAGCAGCTCATATTTACACAAATCAGTCATCAGACAAATACTTATTGTATAAGGCAAAATATGTATTGCTTTTACTTAAAACTGACTTGCCCCGTTATAATGATGCATGATGGACTCTAGAACCAGCAGTATATTCCGCAATTTATGTATTTTTTACATATATTTTAACTCTGCACTATATGTTTTAGATAAAATAAATGCTGAAAAAATATGCTTATGACCATTTTTGAAGAGAGACTTCCATAAATTGTTGTGCATTGAGGAATAAATAGCTTTCATCTAAACAAATATACTAGAATCACTGCATAATAGCCTAAGTAGAATAATGTACATGTATGTTATTTACAATATATTAGAAAGCATTGTTAATAAACATGACCTGAACATCACATTGCGAGATCAATCACTGAGATGCACCTTATGTCCGCCTCATGTATTTCATTACAAATATTAGATTTCCCTTTCAGTCAAAATCTGGGGTTTTTAACAGGCTGATCAATTCAGGGAGCTTCACTTTTAGACAGAAAAAAAAAATATACACAATTAAGACACTACTGTGAGTGTCATGTATGTTTAAAATTGGCACAACGTTCTCACTTTTTACCAGCCTGCAGTTGAATGCTTCCTCCCAGAACATGGTAAGCAATGGGGAGTCAGCCACTTTAAACGGAGAGAGATCCAGCAGGAAGTCCCTCAGACCTGGGATGACAGATTTTTCAATGCCAAATCCGATTGCTCCAGCACAGAAGCTGAACCTCAGCATGTCTCGATCGGTTACCCAGGACTCACTACCTATCCACTGGCGAGATGGAGAAGGCTTGATTGACAGCTCCTCCAGCAGAATTCTCATATCTCCAGGGGAAATAAATGCCACAACAACCTTAGCCGTTGACCTGGAGGGACGTTCAATGACATATACAAATAATAGTTATAATATAAGACTAATATTGTCTTTTATAACAATATAAGTCATAAGTATGAAGAAAAACAAAACATGATGATAAACAGATATATTGGCACATTTCCAGTTGTAATAAAAACATGTTCCATCACTTAACCCTTGTGTTGTGTTTGAAAGCTATTACCGTTCATGGTGTTCGCAGGTCAAAGTTGACCCATGATTTATCTCAGTCCAAAACACTCAAAAAAATGTATCTTGATTGTGAAAAATTTGACCCCGAATCACCCAAAACAATTCTGCTGGGTCTTCCCAGACCTGAATACCAAATTATAAACTTTTTTTTTTAGAGACCTTCAGACTTGGCTACAATTGTCAAAGTCAGGTGTGTAGTGTTTATATAGCTGTTGTGGAGGATATCATGAAGCCTTGTTCCGATACAAAAAACTAGAGGGTAGTTATTATATAATTTTAAACTTGAAACGGGTCACCCGAACACAACATCAGGGTTAAAGAACTTGTTTTGGTTTTCTGTGCAGAAGGTCAGTGTCAGCACAGTGAACCAAATCAGTGATATAGAAACCTGCGGATAACGTCAGCTACTCTCTGGATCCGGCTACGTGGGTGGGTCCGAAAGAAAGACTCAGAGTATTCCACACAGATCCCCTCTTTACGTGCTGCATGCAGGAAAGATGCCATGCCATTATTGCCATAGTCAGAATCCGACCGGACAGCACCTATCCAAGTCCAGCCAAAGTGCTTTACCAGCTTGGCCAGTGCGTCAGCCTGGAATTGATCACTCGGGATTGTTCTGAAGAAACTTGGGTACTGCTGCTTATCAGACAG